ATGGAATTGATCAGGCAGATAGATTGCACTGCATGGTTAAGAGTCTCCTAAGAAGGGAGATGGCAGAAATCCAAGAGCAAACAGATGATGAAATGGCCATTTCCATTAAGGGAACATCACATCACAGATATTAATTAGAAGGCACTATTACAGAGTTAAGTGGATGTGGGGAAAAATATAGAGTTAAAAGTCACCCCGGATGTCCCTAGCCTGAAGTAATTATAGAAGTGAAGGTGAGTCATGGATTTACAATTTTCCATTCATTTTACACTAACTTATAGGTAAGGTAGAGAACAGACATAACTCCATAGTGATTTTTTTTTAGACTGGGGATAAGCTATCTTTAAAAAAAGAAAAAAAATCCTCATGTTTTCCTTTCACTATTCCCAGGAAAATTACATCTTTTATTTACAGAAAAACTAATGGCACACAATAAGAGACCTGCTACTTTCCTAGTAAAAATGAAATGAAACAGATGAAACAAATTAGTTTTGAATTTAAATGCTCAGCATTCTACCAAGTTTTTTATTTTAAGGATATAAACTCATCTTTAAAACTCATGAGACATTCTGTTCTGAGTTTTTAGTTCAAATCTAGCTTTAGCTACTAAAAATTAAAAATCTTCTGAAGTATTATTTGATAACACCCAAATGCTGGCAACAGTCACATTCCAGACCTTTAGAGCTCTCTAAAACATTATAAAACTCCTATTCAAAGTATCTATTGGCCCAATATATGACCGTTTAATTTCTTTTATTCTGCAATCCCTGGCACTTTCTTTTCCCCTAATATCTTCTAATGGCATCCTTCCTATCTGCACACATAACAAATAATAACTGCAAACAGATGACCAACAAGTGAGTTGAGACAACAGTGAAAATGGAAGGGTTTTATCTTTATATTTTGGTATAATCTGGATCACAACCTCAGAATTCTGGATGAAATATTTCAGTTATTAACTTCAAATAGGTGAGGCTCTATCCAAGAGGAAATTTCTTTGCTGGGGTTCCATTCTTAATTTCCTACATAAACTTAGAAAATTAACAATTTGCCTTATATCACCAGAAGAGCAGAATCACAGGGATATTATAAGAAATAATAAGATATCCAAATAATGTGGAATGACTTGTTGAAAGTCTTTTTTTTTTTTTTAAACCAACAAGCAGGGCAGCCCCAGTGGCTCAGTGGTTTAGCGCTGCCTTCAGCCCAGGGTGTGATCCTGGAGACCCGGGATCGAGTCCCACATTGGGCTCCATGCATGGAGCCTGCTTCTCCCTCTGCCTGTGTCTCTGCCTCTCTTTCTCTCTCTCTGTATCTCAGGAATAAATAAATAAAATCTTAAAACAAATAAAATAAAAAAAATAAACCAACAAGCACTTAAAAAAGATAAGGGTGGATTAGTAAAAATGATTAAGTAAAAACCTCTGAAAATTTTCTGTTCCATAAAAGCAATGAGAACACTGGCAAAAATTGTGAGAATCAACTTCTTCTGAACTGTGGAAATTAACCAAAGGCTTGAGCAGTCTGAGGAGAGTTCATTAAGGAAAAATTGGCTGAATCTTGGTAAAAATAGAGTTTTGTAACATTTTAACTCTCCCTAATCTTATTCCACTCTCCTGAACTCTAGAGTAGCCTTAAAAACCAAGTTTGCAATCACAGTAAAAACCACAAAAGGGATCAAAAGAGAAATGAAGCTCCTTCAAAGCCCCATTCTCTGAGAACTGTCATCATTTGACCTGCCTGGTGGCTCCCTAAAAGACCTCCCTTGTAAGGCTGTCTTTATTTGACCTGACTTGGAGCTTAACCCATGCAAAAAGCTTAATCCTCAGGGGTGTTTGTTGAAAACAACTGTAGGCAATTGCTTAGTATAGCTACCTAAGGCAGTTGACATCAATTAGGGCAAATGATAGGCTAACCAAAAAGTTTCTTTTCTTTCTTTTTTTTTTTTAAAGATTTTTATTTTATTTTTTTATTCATGAGAGACACAGAGAGAAGGCAGAGGCATAGGCAGAGGGAGAAGCAAGCTCCCCACAGGGAGCCCAATGTGGAACTTGATCCTGGAACTCTGGGATCACACCCTGAGTTGGAAGGCAGACCTCCCAACTGCTGAGCAACCCAGGCATTCCAAACCAAAAGGTTTCAAAGGAAAAGGTGAGGAATGAGGTATCTATAAGGGGCTTTAAAAAGTTCTTAGTATCTCCAAGAATCCAAAAGACTACATGTGTGACCATGGCTGTATACATACTCACCAAAGACCTTTAGAATGTCTTAAGCTCACTCCTGACTTTGAGGCTCTGTGCAAGCAAGAAATAAAGTGTCAAGTGCAAGCAGAAAGCAAGTGTCAATGGCCTCGTAGAGTGCTGAAGGTGAGCCCCAATGTGTATATAGAGCTCTTCAGAAAAGACTGACTTGTTGGTTCCAAGCATTTAAAGTAATCACAGTTCAATCATTAGCTAACCACCAACCTAACCAAGCAGAGACTTTAATGGCTATATATGAAAAAGAATACAGACTTTACAGAATTAGTTTAGGAAAGTCATTAAATAATAGCAAACAGCAACAAAAACAAACTCTGGAGGAAGGGGAAAATCTGATTCTGAGAGTTGCTACATTACTAAAATACCCAGTTTTCAACAAAAAAATTGAGATATGCAAAGAAAAGAGAATGTAGGGCCATACTCAGGGGAAAAAAAAGTAGTCAGCTATAACTGTACCTGAGGAGTCCAGATGTTAGACTTACTAAATAAAGACATTATATTAGGTATTTTAAAGATGTTCAAAGAACTAAAGAAAATTATATCTAAAGAACTAAATTAAAGTATGCAAACAATGCCTCACAAATAGAAAATCTCAAAAAAGAGAAATTATCTGAGGATCCCTGGGTGGTGCAGCGGTTTAGTGCCTGCCGTTGGCCCAGGGTGTGATCCTGGAGACCCGGGATCGAATCCCACGTCGGGCTCCCAGTGCATGGAGCCTGCTTCTCCCTCAGCCTATGTCTCTGCCTCTCTCTCTCTCTCTGTGTGTGTGACTATCATAAATAAATAAAATTAAAAAAAAAAAAGAGAGAAATTATCTAAAAAAAAAAAAAAGAAGAACCAGAGGTGCCTGGGTGGCTCAGTCAGCTAAGCGTCTGCCTTTGGCTCACACTGTGATCTCAGGGTCCTGGAATTGAGCCCCAAGTTATGGGCTCCCTGCTCAGCAGGAAGTCTGCGTCTCTCTATGCCTCTCCCCCAACTCTGCTCATGTGTGTGCGTTCTCTCTCTCTCTCTCTCTCAAATGAATACATAAAATCTTAAAAAAAAAAAAAAAAAAAAAGAAAGAACCAAACAAATTCTGGAGTTGAAAAGTATAGTAACTGAAATAAAAATTTCAGTAGAGGGATTCAAAAGCAGATTAGAGCAAGGAGAAGAAAGAATCAGTACACTTGAAGATAGGTCAATTGAGCTTATCCTGTCCAAAGAACAGAAAGAATAGAGAATGAAGAAAAATGAACAGAGCTTCAGAGGCCAATAGGACATCATCAAATGTATCAACATATGTATAATGGAATTCCCAGAAGAAGCAGAAAAAAAAGGAACAAAGAATATTTAAAGAAATACTGGTAAAAAATTTACCAAGTTTATCTAAACATTCAAGCAGCTCAATGAACTCCAAATAGGATAAAATCAAAGAGATCCTAAACACATCATAATCAAACTATTCAAAGACAAAGAGAAAATCTTAAAAGTAAAACATAAACAACAAAATTTAGATACTCTCCTGAAGGTTGCCTACAAATATAACTGAAGCAAAGACAGTGGCTTCAAGATTAGATCTCAGAGTCTTAGTCCTGGCATGTACCTCTTTGGAGGTTAAATTAGTATAAATTTGATATAACTTATAAGGGATAGTTTTTCTCTCATTGTAATCTTTTAGAATGACAATCAACCAAATTCTCCAACCGAGGTGAGTGTCTAGTCTCCTACACTAATCTCAAAGTAGCAACAGATTCAAAAAGGAAATAAATCATCCTTTGGAGAAAGAAAAAAGTATCAGCAGCAGATGACTGATTATGGCTTTTATGTGGGAATGTTACCTTAACTTTCCTATGGTGGCTGATTAAGAATTTCTTAAGAGCTATGAGTTAATTACTAGTTTTTGGTAGCTCATTCACAAAAAATACAGTGACAGAGCATTATCTCCAGCAACAAAAAAACTTAAATAAAAAAATTAAACCTCAAAAATAGACCTAAAATATAAATTTGACTATATTTCCCTCTCTCTTCATCCCATATTAATTTAAATCATGAAAAGCCACTCAGATCATCATACTATTTCTCTTAGGATTAGAAATTAGGGTAAACATAAGGTTACTGATTTACTTCTCTTCTATAAAAGCTCTCTGTTATACTGATGGACTACTGTAACTGTGCTTTTGTACTTATATAGGTCTTCATATTGAAGTATAATGAAGCACTATGGAAACATGATAGAAGAATAATAATAGAATACATGCTCAAAGACATATCACTATCCTCTTCTTACGGGCATTATGTCATAAAATTTCAAACTGGGAGGTAAATAAATAGTTTTAACCCTTGTTCCTCAGATAAAGAAGCCAAGAAAGAAAAGGTGGGAATAAAATGTCTTACTCAAGATTAGGAAAATAGAACTGTAACAATTTGAAAAAACCAAGAATAAATTAATCACTAAAAATACCAGGACTATGGGCAGCCCAGGTAGCTCAGTGGTTTAGCGCCACCTTCAGGCCAGGGAGTGATCCTGGAGACCGGAGATCAAGTCCCACATCGGGCTCCCTGCATGGAGCCTGCTTCTCCCTCTGCCTGTGTCTCTGCCTTTCTCTGTCTCTGTGTCTCTCATGAATAAATGAAATCTTAAAAAAAAAATACCAGGACTAATGCCCATGGTGGAAAATAGCTATATCGGGTAGCCTGTAGTCTTTATGATAGATACTCATAGATGAGGAAAACTACTCTATCATACAGACTTCCAAAACTAACCTGTAATTATAAGACATTCATTGTGATCCAGCACCTCAGTGAAGAGCCGTGAAACAATTAACTCAGGGTTGATTAAAAAGCGGATTTCTTCTTGCACAAGTCCTGCACCGGTTACACCACCTCCAACAAAACGGTTTGCAAAATCCACCTGTTTGGGTTAAAATATGGCATGTCAAATGATGATCTAATACCCACATATGTGATAAAGAAGTGCTCTCCCTCTTCCTTTCATTTCCCATATAAATCAATCCCCAAATTAGTAATCTTCCCAGAAAGAAAAGATTGTGGTTGACTGCACTCTTTCCATCTCACTGTAATTAACAAACTTGTAGTTTACAACCTTGTATGTACTCCAAGGACCACAAATCAAAGGAAACTTTATTTGGAAAGGTTTCAAGATCATTTCTACACCATTCACTATTCAATTTCCATTTATGGATTTCTTATGACTTTAATATAATCTTATCTTTCGTATAGAATATAGCAACCAAACACTTATCCTAAAAGAACTGAAAAACTTAGTAACTGCTCTTTTTTGGGTAATCTTTTTCTTCTGTGAAAGACTACAGAGATGGAAATTTCACCCTAAATTCAGTTGCAAATCCCAAACTGTGTAAACAGAAAAAGAAAGAAAAAAAATGAAAATAGAAAGCCTTTTTGAACAACAAAGATTCATAATTTGGCTATTGCTGATAATGCTGCTATATAAACATCAGAGGACATGTTTATGGAAAGAGCTCAAATGTCCATCAACTGATAAATGGATAAAGAAGAGTGGGGTGTGTATGTATGTGTATATAAACAAACTGGAATACTGCCCAGCCATAAAAAAAGAATGAAATCTTGCCATTTGCAACAATGTAGATGGAACTAGACAGTATTATGCTAAGCAAAATAAGTGAGAAAAAGACCCATACTGTATGATTTCACTCATGTGGAATTTAAGAAACAAAACAAACAATCATAGGGGGTAAAAAGAAAGCAGTAAACCAAGAAACAGACTCTTAACTATAGAGAACAAACTGATGACTACCAGAGGGGAGGTGGTGGTGGTGGGGTGGGGTGGGGATAGGTTACATAGGTGATGGGGATTAAGGAGTGCACTTGTTAAAAAAAAAAAAAAAAAGGAGTGCACTTGTGATGAGCATCGGGTGTTGTACTCAAGGGTTGAAACACTAAATTGTACACTTAAAAGTAACATTCCACTGTATGTTAACTGGAATTTTAATAAAAACTTAAAAACAAAGATTCAACTAATATTTCAAATTTAGTTAAAATTATGCATAAGCTTTCTGAGGAGTACTATATTATAACGGGATCCTCAAATTCCTATTAATGAAGATGAATCACACAATCCTCAAGAAAAAGCAAACTCAGCATCGTTTGTCTTAAACCTACTAAGCACTCCAATGTGTTCAACACTATGCTAAGCTCTATGGAACAATATGTAAGAAATAGATACCAGCTTTGCCATGTATTTTTGTATTCAAGGAGTTAGATTACACACATGCACAACACCTTGTATACATACATAGCCATATACACATAAAAAGAATTTAGCAAGTAATGTAAGAGAGGCTTATATACTGTATATAAAGAAATACTCTTGTGTCTCTCCTTTACTCTTACACTACCACACTCATAATACTTCTACATGTGGGTTTCCACACATCAAGCAATTCTGAAACACCTGCTGGGTGTCCTATAACTCAATTCAGTTCTGACACTATCTACCGGGATTCGCATCAGATCCCACAGGCGAAGGATTCAGTCCCACAAGACTGTCCCACTTCAGTCAGCAACTGCAAGTCCCAAATTGTCAACTCTACTTCTAGTTGACCAGCTATAAGTTGAAATTCCTATGACCTGCTCCTGTGGCTTGATAGAACAGCTCACAAAACTCAGGGTAACACTTAAGTTTACTGATTTCTTAAGGATATAATAAAGGATATAGATGAACAAACAAATGAAGTGATATACAGGGCATGGTAAGTAGGAAGAGGTATAGAGCTTCCACACCTTTCTGGACAAGGCACTTTCCTAACACTTCCACATGCTCACCAACCTGGAAGCTCTCTGAATCCTGCACTTTTGAGGTTTTGTAGAAGCTTCATCACTTAAGGATGATCAATCATTAACACAGTTTTCAGTCCCTCTCCCTTTCTCAGAAGTTGGGGATTATGGTGGAAAGTTCCAAACCTCTAATCATGGCTTAATCCTTTTGGTGATCAGTCCCCATCCTGAAGCTATGCAGGAACTCCACCAAGAGTCATCTCATCAGAATAAAACATTCCTGTAACCTAGGAAATTCCAAGGAATTTAGGAGCTCTGTTTCAGGAATCAGGGTCAAAGACCAAATATTAGAACAAAAGATGCTCCCAGTACACTTATCAGTTAGGATATTACAAGGGTTTTAGGACCTCTGTGCAAAGAACCAGGGGCAGAGACTAATATATATTTTTTTCTATTATTTTACATATACTTTCAGACTATTGTCAAATACAAGATTCCTTAAAACTTGCGTTCTCTAAAGCAATTATGATACTAAATCGTAATTTGAGGCATATTTTACAGAAGAGTGAAACAAGAATACGAATCTTTTGATACAGTTTTCTTTCATTAGAGAAGAACTTCAAAAACACTGAATATATGACTGGACAAATTCTTGAAATGAGTTATCACAGAGAATCATATATATTTTATACTCTGGCATACTAAATCACATTTAAAAAAAGAGTAACTCGGGCAGCCCGAGTGGCTTAGCGGTTTAGCGCCGTCTTCAGCCCAGGGCCTGATCCTGGAGACCTGGGATCAAGTCCCACATCAGGCTTCCTGCATGGAGCCTGCTTATCCCTCTGCCTGTGTCTCTGCCTCTTTCTCTCTCTGTGTGTCTCTCATGAATAGATAAATAAAATCTTTAAAAAAAATAAAAAATAAATAAAAAATATAAAAAAAGAGCAACTCTTTAGTATATATAGAAAAATAATTTTAGGGATGCCTGGGGGTAGTTCAGCAGTTGAGCATCTGCCTTTGGCTCAGGGGCATGATCCTGGTCTGGGGATTGAGTCCCATATCGGGCTCCCTGTGAGGAGCCTGTTTCTCTGTCTGTGTTTCTGCCTCTCTCTCTGTGTCTCTCATGAAAAAATCTTAAAAAAAAAAAAAAAAAAAAGAAAAAAGAAAAAGAATTTTGGCTAACCTAGTCCATTGATTAGAATTAGTTGCTTACAATATATAAGTTCATTATGCACTGGGTGATTCATGGCTTAAAATGTCCAACAAAGATCAACTGAATATTGTGCTGAGAACCATGTGATACAAAGATGAATATGAAGTGAGCCTTGACTTCACAGCATCTGTAATCTTGAGATCCCAGCACATAAGCAGAATAAGATGATTATTAAAGAACCCACTAGAATGTATTAGATCATTCCCAAATAATACAATTAACTAAAACTGGAGCAACGGGACATGGCATTCATTTTAGATTTTGCTGACATTCAGGCAGAGGAAATAACTGCACAAGGACATCGCAAAAAAACAACTGTGCAGAGCTATATGAAAGACAGTGGTAGGTAGATACCTCATGCCTGTCTGCAATGTAGAGTATGTAAAGGATTATAGTTGCTGATGAGGTATTCTGGGGTCAAGGAAAGTTTTACTTAATTTTAAAGGTTCTTGGAATTCTAAAAAGAAAAGGTACAACTAGACCTGTGTTTTAGAACAATAATTTAGGCTAGAGTTGAAAGAATGAGTTGGAGAGGAGTAAAATTGAAAGCACAGAGTCTGGTTAGGTGACTATTGAATAGTTCAGACAAGAACTATTAGGGCCTCAAACAGGTCAGTGGGGAAAAAAGTGAAGGAATGAGAGACCTAGCAAAAAATCAAAATGGACAGCACTTGAAAATCAAAAGATTAGCTAAGCATAACAGTATTGTGAATACAAATGAGAAACAAACAAGGTTTAAGATCAATGAAACTTAATTTTTACTGGAACATGGTACACAACTAAAATAAAAAGGTAAGTTCTATCCAACTTATGTACAACTTGGTAATGATAAATGAAATATATTCAATGTGCATACTATTATTCTTTGAATAAAAGGCCAAAATTTATTATTTGAAAGGTATGCATAGAAATAAATACATTATATTAAACTCAATACGCCTCTGAAGGCAGGGGTCTTTTAGAAAAAACTGTCTACTACTTTAAAAAGTTTTTAATAAAAGGTTCCCTATTACAGGTAAGAAACCTGTCCTAGCACATGAAAACAAGCATATGAGGGCTTCTATATTTTTAGCCATTTTCAACTTACTTTACTTTAAAGCTACTTGTTCAGATTGCTCAGTTTCTGAATTATAACTTTACGAAAAGGAGAAATGGTAACAATCCTTAGAGAGGTTTTGTTGTTGCCATTCAGCATAATGTAATTTATATGCTACACAAGGAGCTTTGTAATACTGCAATATAATATTCCCCGATCTCCTGGGGATACGTGGCATGGATAGGGAGAATAATTAATAGAAGCCTTTATGGTATTCTTTTAATCTACTGAGGTTTCACATTTCGTCTATAATATATTCCAGAAAAGTGGGAAGAATCTCAATCTTGAATGTTGCTAAATAATTACTTGCTGATTGTATTGTGATGAAAGGTCAGCATTCCTGTGGTGCTAACTAGCAGTAGCTTTGTTTATTTCACGTGTATTAAGACTCCCTCAGTTAATCTAAGACTTTAATGTAGAAAAGAACGTCATCAAGATAGAAATGTGGGGAAAAAAGTAACATTCATTTAGAACAGATTTTAAGCATATTTCAAAATTACTGTTTATTTAAGAAAAAGTAATGATTAAATACAAATTAAAAAAATTTAAGAAAAAAAATTTAAGTACCACATGTTAATCCAGTATCTAAATGTTTATAATCTCAAAAAATTAGAGAGAATGATTTAAAACAAAACATGGTTTGCCCCTTTGAAGATTTTAATTATTAATATGTCTTTTAAGAGGCCATTCTAAAAAGAATCTGTTTCATTAAGCACTGAGAGCATAAATATATAATAACTAGCCAAACGCAAGTCAGTCTAGTTATTTTACAGTATACATAGTTATTCAAACAGTCCGTTCTCAGGAAACTGATTTAACTTCTGACCCAATATAAGCATCAAATAAGGATCTAAGAAGAAAAATCAGCAATTTCCAGTATAAGTGAAATGATGTTCAACATCTTTCAAAGAAAACAGATTACAATGCTCTTATAAACTGGATAAGAACACAAATCACTACATTTTGTGTCTGATTAGTGATTTTTCAAAAAAATCAGTATAAAGAAAAAGAAAAGCATGTATTCAGGTTAAGTGCCACAACAATTTACTAGATACATTTGTTAACTCCTTTTTCCAAAAATATATATATTTAAAATAAAGGTAGTAACACAGATTAATAACAAAGATCAAGAAGACATGGACAAAATTACCTGCTCTGAAACAGGTAAAGGACACCAAGCAGAGTTGGCTCATGTGCCTAAAGCTGTTACATATGGGAGAGAGGACTTTCTTATCAATCTTTTAGACATCTGTCTCCTAAGACCTAAACAAGGTTGGTGGCAGAAAAACATTTCAAGCTGGTCATCATTTGGAGCAGAGAAAGAGCCTTTAAAGAAAAAGAACAAAACTGCTTGGTGATAGCTGTCAAGACCATACCCAGGGAACTTCCTCCACTGTCAATCTACAATCAATGTCTGAACTAAGAAACCTGATGTTGCCCAGATCTTAAAATTTTCTGTCAAAGGCTTCTTAAAGAGGCGCACGTTAAGAAACAGCATACACTGGCAAATAACAGTATTACCAAGACTGTCAAAATGATCTGTTTGGCATTTTTCTCCATTCTGCTATCATGCTTCTTTGCATTAAATCAGTTTAGGAGAGAAATAAACAGGTTTTCAAACTTCCTTTGCTGTCAGAAGCTTGACAAGAATAAGTCCCAAACAGCACACTGTTGTGATTCACCTACCTGTAGCATGCCTTGACCATTTCCTTCTATGGTACCTTCATAAGTGACATGCAATCGAGTCAGGGGTTTTTCACATCTACAATTTAAAAGATAATCCTTTACTTTTAATGAACTTCACTAAGGAAAAATGTGAAAATATACATAACTACAGAAGAAATATTAAAACCATTACGAATCTTAAAAGCCAGAAACATGCCTGGTTAACGTTTTTGATATAGATTCTTCCAAACTTTTTCTTATTCAAATACTAAACATACATATTTAAATTAAAATGAGATAACATGCTGTTTTGAAGTCCATATTTTTTTCTACAAAATGTTTCTCTTCAAGAGTTGAAAAAGTCGGGCAGCCCCGGTGGCCCATCGGTTTAGCGCTGCCTGCAGCCCAGGGTGTGATCTGGAGACCCTGGATCGAGTCCCACGTCAGGCTCTCTGCATGGAGCCTGCTTCTCCCTCTGCCTGTGTCTCTGCCTCTCTCTCTCTCTCTCTCTCTGCATCTCTATGAATAAATAAATAAAATCTTAAAAAAAAAAGAGCTGAAAAAGTCTCAAAATATAAAAACAAAATTAAGATCTATGCAATTTTATTATTATCCTACAGTTGGCACCTGAAGAAAAATAAAAAAAAAACTTTGGCAATAAATCATATATGATATTGAGATGGGGTCTATTTTCAGTAGTTTGATAAACATGAGTGTATGAGTGTATGTGGTGGCAATATCTTGATGAAAATACAGGCCACAGAAATCTGATCTATGGTACTTTTATGTTAATAAAACTGATGAATTAATCTAGTACCTGTTAAGTCACAATTATTTTCTTTCGCTTTCATACACCATGGTCACTAACGTGCTACCACAAAATGTGGCGCCATGGGATATCAAATACCTTAAGATTAATTAAGTTTGAGAAAACGGCAGAAGCAGGAGGGTCACTATGACCTCCTCCCCTCTGCACAGTTCTTCCCCACATGTAATAAGACCCTCATGTGCAAGGTGTCCACTCTGTATTTGGAGGAAAGGAATATTCCTATCTCTGAAGAAGAAAGGATGCCAAGAATTCTAACAAACAGGCCTTGCTAAGTTTTCCCCCAGATAACTACAATTACCTCATACTTCTTAATCTGTCATATTCCACAAAGATGTTCACTCTTCACTGAATCTGACATAAAAGTACGTGGGTCTATTTCTTTGGGCCTTCATTTCCTTAAGAAGGCTCCTGTGACATGTAAAATTTACATCAAATAAATCTGTGTGCTGGGACGCCTGGGTGGCTCAGCGGTTAAGCGCATCTGCCTTCGGCTCAGGGTGTAATCCTGGAGTCCCAGGATTGAATCCCACATCGGCCTTCCTGCATGGAGCCAGCTTCTCCCTCTGCCTATGTCTATGCCTCTCTCTTTCTGTGTCTCTCATGAATAAATAAATAAAATCTTAAAAAAATAATAAATATGTGTTTGTCTCCTGTTAATCAGTCTTTGTCCTTTTAATTTTCAGATCCTGACTGGTTTGAGAAAAAAGTTTTTCCTCCCTTACAGTTACATTACATTATATTTAAAAACCAATTCCATTTTATTAACAGTATTTGGTGAGGGCATTTTTCAGTAATAGATTTTCCCCGATTACTTATTTAATAAAAAATATAAATTATAATAAAATATAACAGATGAGATCCAAATACCTAACTTATATAAGGGTTGCATTCATTTTTGGGGAGGGAATTATATATTTTTTAAAACAATGATACATATACATATATATATATATACATTTTTAAAGATTTTAGTTATTCATTTGAAAGAGAGAGTGTGCGCACAGAGTGAGAGAGGGAGAAGCAGATCCCCTGCTGAGCAGAGCCTAATGCAGGGCTAGATCCCAGCACATTTGAGATCATGACCTGAGGCTAAGGCAGATACTTAGCTGACTGAGCCACCCAGGCACCCCAATTATATATTTTTTAAAACAATTTAACTGGGGAAGCGCTATTTACCTTATTGGGATTTACTTTCTGCCTAATTTCAGTAAGTCCAAATACCTTTCTGGAGAAGCTCCTGTCCAATAGACTGATAGCCTTAAACAGAAGGCAATTCAGTATATGTTCTAAGAGCTTCATTTGCATTAACTCATGCAATCCTCACAACAACCCTATTACTACTATCTCTTTTTAACAGATGGGAAAACAATGCACAGAAAACATTTAAGTAACCTGCCCAAGCAATAAAGCATCAAGAATTTGAAGCCAGGTAACTAGTATGCTTTACCTTTAGAAAAATTACTTTCAAAATCTCTTCTAGAAAGTTATGACACTAGTTTGATTTTTTTTAACTTCTTTTTGTTTGTTTGTTTTTCAATCCTACTTTCCTAGCCATTTCAATCCTACATTTCCTAGCTAAGGGAGACCACCCATGAGGATACTACTGAAAAGATAAAGAAGCATGATCCAGAAATCTCTAGTTTGTCATTCAGGACTTCAAAACAGAAATCTCATCTGTTCTTCAACTATTCTTCCTAACTAAAGCTGTCAACATAGAGTATAATACTCAATAAAATTATGAAATTGCTAGACAGCTTTCTTAAAGTATCCTCCACCTTCTTGATAGGTCTCCCCTTTTGGCTCCAGCAAATCTTTCATACCAGTCATAATCAAAGACACAGACGATAATGAATCTCTGTGATTAACTAAGCCTAGCTAAGATATTTGCTGATAATCACTGGGTTAACTGTAACATGGCAGAAACTTGGAAATCAGAAAAACCTCTAACTTCCTGGCACCCATGTAGCCCCATACTCTTGGGAACACCAACAATTTTCATCTCTTCTTTATCCTCCCTCTTTAAGTGAATGCATGTTCTGGTTCTGTGGGTCTGAGAAATTGATTAATTACATTCTCCAACTTATGAAGCACTAAAACAGAACAGAACAGAAGTCAATGAAATAAAACAAGTTAGAAAAGTTACCAAGTTAAATTGTGCCTATCAAAGTTAAGGGGAATATCTTGATCTTATACATTGAGGTGAAATGGTGCATTTCCCACTACTGAAGCTGTCTGTCACCTATCACAGGTATTATAGAGTTGATTGATATTTTCAGGATACAGTTAGAGCAGATGATTTCCTGGGGTCCCTTTCATCTCTAATATGCCAAGACTCCAAACTGCTATACATGTTCCCTTCCTTTCTACTCAATTTTGTTTTTTGTTTTTATATTCCAGTTGTTTAATCTTTTACCTACTTCCTTCTACTGATAATCATCTAAGCCATGCAGTTAGCCTCCTAAAGTAAGTTTTTCTTTCTCCTCGCGAACATCTTTGATGGATAAAAAAACACCACAGGAAAGCCACCTAAGTAGATGTGCTTCCTCAAGTTAACTCCCGTAAATAAAAATTAAGAGAAAGTAAAAATAAGACTTAACATGAATGCATACACAAATATGCACAGTACATCTGATCATGTTCTCATATGCGATGAAAAAGTTGATCTATTCTTAAGTGCTTTGGGGATCTGCTCTGGATTAGGAAATGTATTAACTAGTTCAGGGCATGAAGGAATTTACAAATCTGCATGAAATCAGATTGGTTACTATTCTTCTCAGTTATTTGCAGATAAATAATAAGTAAAAAAACCTCTGCCAATCTGCCAATAGTACACATGAACAGTCAAACTTCAAAATTCTGGTCACTCAGACAAATTCTAGAAAATTACTATTAATACTTTAGATTAACAAAAAAAATTTTCCTCCATCTTGTCCTCCAGAATGAAAAGCCATAAAATACAAATATGCTAACCAAGAGGAGTATAAGGATGAATATTAAATATTGGTGTTCCAGTTAATAGTAGTGTCTTCACACAAAACTCCTTAATTCTAAACAGGACTTTGTTCAGAAGAAAAAAACTAAGGCAAAGAGTAGAAGTCAAAGGCTTGCAGACTTTGAATCATACAGCATGACCTTTCCAACAATGAGAGCTATCAATGGATCATTTATAGGAAATTCCCTAGCAATTAAAGAGTCTGGGAAACCATCTTTCCAGGAGTTGCAAAATAGAATCCTAGTACAGTAAAAGAGCCCTTCTAATTCTAAGATTCCCGATTATTTTTATTACTATTACCTTTCCCACTCTGGAAAATCTTCAAGACTCTGTCTTGTAAATGTCACCAAGCCAGTAGGTTCTACAAAAGCAATAAAAGAAAAAGAAACCCAAAGGAAGTTTTGATTTTGGAAAGATTATATACATTCGTTAAAATAATGGATCTAACAATGGTTATAAAACTAATTGGAAAATATCAAGTTTAGTGTTGGAATACAACAGAAAACCGATTTAAAACAGTATTATCCTTACAGTAGGAACTCTTTTTATAAAATAGTAAGCCCTCACTAAAACAAAACTATACAAACAACAGCACAATGGTACTTATTAAGTTTTCTAAACTGAATACATTTGTAAAAACTCAACCAAAAAAAGGGGTGCATTAATGAGTGTAGCTTATACAATAAAGAAGAATTTGAATTTGAATTTGAATTTTAATGTTTACTCCTTCTCTGAGAAAGGCCTTAAACTTACATCTAAAGACTGGTGAATATATACACATTTATATGTTTTATAATAAAATAAAATGTCATTAAAAAAGAAAATTGTTGACAGGCCCTTTGGAGTTGACAAAGCTAAATCCAGGGCTTATGATATGCAATTGTTCTACTTACAAGTCATCTTAGCTGGAAGGAAGAATCACTGTGTTCTAAGAGGTTAGAAAAGAAAGATGACATAGTTTTTAAGGAGGAGTAGATACAAAATGCAGTATGTTTTAGAGGAATGTGAACCTTTTTTGTTAGATTTACTTTTTTTTTTTTTTCTAATTAGGGGCAAAAGCAACAAATAAATCAGCAGGCCAAAAGTAATTTGATTCAAATCAAAGAACAAACTAAAAAGGCCAGGCCACTTCTGTTTTTAAAAAAAAAGAAAGAAAGAAAGAAAGCAAGCAAAAAAAGAAAGAAAGAAAGCAAAAAGCTCTTAAGCAAAGAGATATGTCAGAAACTATTAGTGATAATGCTGGTAGAGTCCCATTGAAAGCCTGACAATCATTTTATTTTTCTGGATGATTCCACATTTCTCCGCTCTCAGTCACAAGTAGTAACAACTCAAAAAATCATATGGAGGAGTTACAGTAGAACATTAATGGGTGTATTTTGTTAATATGGGTTATAAAATATTCTTAAGATTTCCTTAAGAAATTTCTCTAAGGCAAAAGGATAACATAAATAAAACTCACAAGAGATCAAACAATTCAAACACCAGAGAAGCAATTCTATTAATAAGAAACTAATGTCAGTATCATCATTCAGCAAATTAACAGATTAGCAGGAATATTAAATGTCTTTCATATATACTAGGAGATCCCAAAAGAAATTCATAAATGAATATCACTAGCAAAGCTAGAAAAAAGAACAAGCTCTTTAGATATAATTAAAACAAAAAGAACTTGAGGGCATTCTTATTGCCTTTCTTCCATAAAAAGGTAACTTTTATATTAGAATAGATTATTTTATTTTGGTTAATCAAATATTTCCCTTAATAAAATCACAATATGTGCTGCATATGAATTATCAATTTTTAAATACTCCATCTATAAGTATTTTATCTAAAACTATACTAAAAATAATTCAAAAAGCCCTTAAAAAACAACCTCAAGATCCTCATTAAAAATACAAAATAATAAAAAAAACACAAAAAAAATAAAAAAAAATACAAAATAAAGACATTTGACAACATCGAAAAGTTGGTCTTGATGGAATTACATTTTATCATTTTATCAATTCTAAAAGGCACATCTTTTTTTCATGTGGTAATAAGCCTCTGAAACTGGGATACATCTTTCATAATGGAAGGTATCTAGCTATTGCCACTAGTCTAAATTAATGTTGAATTTTTCCAGAGATGTGCATCTGCTTCTGCAGTCATCTGGGAGCACCACCAACCTGAGATCATTGTGAATTAAATCCACTGTTGTGGGCTTTTGTGGATCACACTGGTAATAGGACTTTAGACTCCAAACTTGAGGCTAGTGGTTTAAATTCTCAGAGGAGATTTTTTTGTATCTTCTCTAGCCAGTGCCAAGATTGACACTTGCAGTTTCTTTTTTGTCCCTTTTTTGCAGAGCCAGGTTAATTTCTCATCTGTCCTTAGACTGAAGGTACAGACCTCTGGTATATCAGCTATGTAAAAGAGGTCTCCTAAGATCCTTCAACCTGAGTGTTTTTTCCTTCTTTGCAGTATATAACATAATGACACTTTTTACACTCCACAATGTCCTGGATTTGATGTAATATGGTTTATTTTATTTTATTTTTTTTGTAATATGGTTTAAATAGGTTTCTGTAGTTTCTGTTAAGTAGACTTTAGACTTTCTATATAAATTCATCATTAGCCTGTAAATGTCTTTTATTCCACTATTTCCTCTTTAAGCCTGTAACTTTACATCCTAAAAACTTATAACATGTGTTATTATATTTCATAAAGAACTAAATTACCATGTACAATGAAAAAGCCAGAAAATAAAATGTCTAGTTATAATTTTTTTCAGCCTAATTCCTAGTATTTATGATGGTTTATAAATTTTTAGTTGAAAAAACAAAACATTAGCATTTTCCCTCAAAGTAAACAAAATCCTAAAACTTAAGCAAGTTAGCTCTTAGAGAACTAAGACTCCAAGGACAGAAAAGTAAGCTCTGAATTACTTAGGTATAATAACAGAATTCATCCTATTTAGCAAAGCAAATTTAAGGTAGAAAAAAAATACTCATTTTCCCAACAAATTATTACAAATCCTAATTTGGCTTTATGTCTCATAAACTCAAATGAGACTTCATTTCCTTTATTATTTCACTCAGTATAGAAAACAAAACTAAAAATAAATAAGCTAACAAGTAGCCCTCTATCAAAGAAGCATGGTTTTTCTGTTAAATATCAAAATTCTGATAACAGACTTCTTTCCAAAACTCTGAACAATGTTCAATGCCAATAACTTCAAAAGGAAAAAATGCCAAGTGTAATGTGAGATTACACACTAAAGGAAGACTATGAGAAAACTGACCTTAGAATGAACCAATGAAGTACTTAAGACAATCTGACAACCTGAATGATCATTATTGAAAGGAACTCATTTCACTTGACCAGAGCTGATCTGCTCTATTTAGCAAAAGCAAACTTTAAGAAGTTCTGGTTTCCCTTATAAATTGACTTGGAGGAAAGGCCACTCGTGTAACTTCTCACTTAACGTCATTATTCTCTTATTTTACTGATGAGGATACTGAGGCTTGAAAGTGTTAAGAAGCTTGTCTGTGGGCACCCAGCTCTTAGGGTAGGAGTAGCAGTACCAATCTATTATTATTAGTTGGTAATTTCTAGCCCTGGTTAGACCTCTACTACCACTGCCTCAGGTGTTACAATTAGTCTCTGGGAAAACAGTATGGTCAAGGTCCAAAAGAAAAAGACAAACTTGTAAATACTAAGTATAACACTATTTCATAAGAACTCTACAAAGTATGTAAAGGGGCTACAAAAGAGAAGGATGGTAGGAAGACAACAAACTGGCTGTCTTCCACAAATAAACTGTTAGTAGTCAATGCTTCTTAAAATAAAGAATACCCAAAACATATTTCCTGGACAATATACCTTCTTTTCAGAGTATTAATTTACTGTTTTTCACTCATGAAAACCTATTAAAGTATGTTCTGCTGATCTAATTTCAGAGTATATACAACTCATATGTATTTATAGCACACATTTAATGTATATAACATGCATAAAATCTAGATTATAATACTGAATTATTTGGTTTGGGCAGGAAGATGTACTTTTTTTTTTTTTTAGGAAGATGTACTTTGAACACAAAATGTTTCTGACCTGACACTTGATCTGAACCATCCCAATTAGTGATAAAAATAATATTAAGAATGAAAGGAATTTACTTTTCTCCGTGACTCTTCTAAAGTAGCAGAAGAGTGTTTTAAGCTTCTCTGGTTTTCTTGATGAACGACCTTCGAACAACCTGAAGAAAAACAAAATAAAGAAAATAAAAAAGGGGTTTAAAATGCCTTAATGACTGACATTAAGGCAATAAAATATATTTAGCAACGAAATATATTGCTATCAAGGGAAGGCAATTCTATAATAACAGAGACCTGGAAAACTGGATTCAAATGGCATCTGGAGAGGACTAAAACCAACTAGAACCAGGCTTCTTAGAAGTTGTTTGAGTCAGATGGCACTCTCTAACAACCACATTTCTCCCCTCTATCTTCCTCCAGGGAAAATGCACCATCTGGTCCTCCAAAGTCAATTAGGCCGGCGAGTTAATGCTCAATCATTTTCCCAATGGAAAATACTAGTAATTCATAATATTACTCGGCAGTCAAATGGCTGAACAAAAATAGTCCCTGAAAAAAATCCACACGATTATGTTGGGGGACGGAGGGTAGTGGGCAGTTATGACAATAACAAGCAGGTATGACAAAGTATTTGGGCATGGACCAATCTTTGATAGTTAAACAGATACACACTTTGCACAGTAACCAAAACAGTGCCTTCATTTAGTTTCCAGAAACCTGGACTTGCACTACTTAGTCTTCTTCAAAATGACATAGCATTGTTAACGGTAACGCATAATGCAATTTATCCTGAGGAAAGAAAAGCAGGGCTTTGGAACCATATGACCTAAATAAGGAGTTTGCTAAAAGATTTCAAACATAAAAACATGCTTTGGGCATGAGATCTAGCTCTCCAAAGGCATTTGAAAATTATAAAGAAATTCTGCAGCTATAAATGATGAGGTATTATTTATCTGCCTCTAGTCATATGCTCTGGCATTACAACCAGAAACCCTTCAAGTAAAAGTTCTTTTTAATAAGTGCCAAAATGGGTAAAAGTTTTCATGATTAGAAAAGCAAGCTTATGTAACTATGTAGAGAGGGAAGAGTTAATTCCATAAGAAAATCCTATTGGCAAATTGAAATGAATTAGGAAAAGGGAAGTAAATGTAGATATCAAATGATCCTGTTTTTGATGATCTGAAATTCTATATTCAGGGTCATTTTCTGAGAAAACGATTTGTGTGAATATTTATTTCCTGAGAAGAATACTAATGTCAGAAAAGTATTTTAAACAAATTTAAAATTGAACTGATTTTTTAAAAAAGGTAAAATTGAACTGATTTTTTTTTTTAATTTTTACTTATTTATGATAGAGAGAGAGAGAGAGAGAGGCAGAGACACAGGCAGAGGGAGAAGCAGGCTCCATGCACCGGGAGCCCGATGTGGGATTCGATCCCGGGTCTCCAGGATCACGCCCGGGGCCAAAGGCAGGCGCCAAACCGCTGCGCCACCCAGGGATCCCAATTGAACTGATTTTTAAAAATAGTTTGAGTGTCTGTATGGGGGTGCCTGGGTGGCTCAGTTGGTTAAGCATCTGACTCTTGATTTTGGCTCAGGTCATGATCTCAGGGTTGTGAGACCAAGCTCTGAGTTGGCTCCACACTGGGCATAGAGTCTGCTTAAGATTTTCTCTCCCTTTGCCCACCCTGCCTCTTCGACCTCCTCTCTCGAAAGAAAGAAAGAAAGAAAGAAAGAAAGAAAGAAAGAAAGAAAGAAAGAAAGAAAAAAGACTGTGTAATAATTTTTAGTCATCTAAAAGAACATACTTATCTAAAATGTTTATCACAAATACTCCTAAAATCCAGCTGCCTGCTAAAAGAAAGGATCTTTGAGAGTACAGGTTTCAACTTGGTTTCTTCTATCTATCCTGTCAACCAGGATGGAGTTTATTTAAATCAAAATGATAGTCAAAATGAAGAAGCCACTTGGCAGTTTAATTAAACATCCAGTATCAAATAAATATAATTTACTAAATTAATGTCTTGGGAACCATTGCAAAATCCCTTTCCAGGTTTACTACTTGGTAGAGAGAAACAGTATGAATATAAAGGCAGCCACCATCTTTTCTTAGAGATGAACTGATGTACTACATAACACAATTAAAGTTCCTCTTCCACAGAACTGTTGTGTAGAAAGGGAAAAAAATGGCTGTTGTCCTTAAGAAATAATTCTCCCAAACATAAAAAGTGTCCCTAGCTTCTATTTGTGGTCAGTTGTTTGTAAAATTTCACTTAAGTTCACATATTTCATAACCACGATGACAAATTAGTAAACCTAAGAGCCTCTTGGGACTACAGATTTTATTACCCTAGCAATACTGACTTTCTTGGAAGATTATATGGCAGTAACTATCACACACTACAAATGAGCACCCATTGTTATCTTGTCGGTCCTAACCGTATAGGTACAAAGTCAAGCAAAATCGCAATGTATTGTTAATTTGTCGCGCTAATTTCAAATCACTATGTAACCAAATATGCTTTCCCATTTTCCTGATGGAGCAGGAAGTGCCAAGTGAGGTGGAAGGAAGGAGAGACAAGGAGGTAGAAAGTCAAGGAAGATGAAGCAGGTTTGAAACCCTTGCATGAAATCTAAAATTCCATAACAGTGAAGTCTGAAAGTACTATGCATAGCCACCCAAATAAAATGAATTATCCTGATATTAAAACAAGTGAAAATAACATAAAAACACTGGCAAACCACATGAGTGAAAGTCACAAGAGAGACATAATATCTAAGACAGTATCTAGGGGGAGGAGGGAGACAAAGAGACTGCGAAAGGAGTTCAAGACAAGAGGAACACAAAAAGATGAGTCTCAGACGGCAGAGACAAAGGGACTAACAGAGATGGAGCTGGACAGAGGGAAGGAAGAGACAGAAATGCACCCAGAGAGACAGAGACTCAGAGAGAATGAGACCTTTTTATAATAATCAAGCACCATCTGATTTTTTAACTTCTCAACATCAATTTTTTTTAAATTTAGGTTTTCAACTACTGCCTGTGGTTTGTATTTGAAGGCCTTTTTGAGGCAGCAGGCATGTATGTGTGCCTGCACTTAAACTAGACTACAGGGCAGCCCAGGTGGCTCAGCGGTTTAGCGACACCTTCAGCCCAGGGTGTGATCCTGGAGACCCGGGGCTGAGTCCCACAACAGGCTCCCTGAATGGAGCCTGCTTCTCCCTCTGCCTGTGTCTCTGCCTCTCTCCCTCTCTCCCTCTCTGTCTCTCATGGATAAATAAATAAAATCTTGAAAAAAAAATAGACCACAAAAACCCCTCTGCATGTAGGATGGACTTTTTGGCATTTAACTGAATATTAGAGAGTATTGAGAAAAGCAAACAGAAAAAGCCATTCAGGCAACTTTACTTTCATTCTAAACAAAACTTTTTTATTTTTAAGGAAATAAGGCAATCAAAGGTCAGATACTTATTAACTCGTGTTTTCCTTTCCATATGTATAAATAAAATCACAGTTTAATAAAATCTTTCCCTGAATAGAATATTGGTAATATTACTGGAATTGAATTCTAGTCACACACACACGTCCCCTCATGTGATTTCAAGTTAAGGACTAATCCCATTAGTACACAGTAAATCAAACTCAATGCAGTATAACCTCCACTTTAAAATGGATGCAAATGATAATCTGGAACCTAGCCACAAAGTCATTTTTGGCTTTTCTGTGAAGCAATCTGCCATATGGCCCCAACATCACTTTCAATCCAGGGAAGAGGCAGATGTAAAAGCCTCCTGGGCTGACCACTGCTGCAACCCACAATTAATCTCTGACCATCAGTTTCTAAGCAATCTCAAAAGCATCAATGCTAATCACATTGGAAGCCTTTATATGGATGTTTAGGCTCTGAAAGGCAAGCAGGGGAAAAGGTCAAGGATATTTAACATAACTAAGCAGGGCTGGAAGAACACAACAATAAATAAAAACAGGAAGACTTATTCAATTTGTTGACGTCAGCCTCCCACCACGTACTCTTAACCATTTTTGTTATTCAATCAACTAGCTAGCCATAGCCCCTTTGAGGCTAAATACACTCACACACACATAACTCCCAACTGCCAGAAACTATAACCATAAATAGCAACTAGGCAAAAAAGAAAACACCACCACAACAAAATCCTCCATAATCAGCTTACCAAATGGCTCATCAAATTAGGTACTTGATCTTTCATAAGTCACATGAGAAATGGGAACTTTGGGTTGTTTTCCATTTCTGGAGCACGGTCAGAGCATTTTGCTCGAGTGGAAGTAAGATATAATGAAAGAGCACCAAGTTTGAACAGAAGACAGCATCCAAGTCTCAGTTTTGCTGACAAGTCACTTACTCTCACTGAACCTATTAGTACAGAAGCTTACCTACCTAGAAACCTCCATAGACAGAATCAAAGTAAGCTGTCAATAGACAGCATCAATGACCATGTATAGTCATAATTTCTGTTTTTCTTTTTTGCTAGTTTAGGCTTATTAAACACATACCATCTCAGTGCAGCCAAATGCTGACATCCTGGCTGCTAGGATTCCCTAAATCAATTGTGGAGACTACCACAGGCTTTACCTGCCCTTAATTAATTTTCAACATTCTGGTGATCAAAAGAACATCCATCAGCCAGAACATAAGAATATACCTAATTTCAAATCTTCAACAGATTAAACTCTCATTTGGTGAAATGCTATTGAGATAGTATGAGTTTAAATCCCTTATGGTCATCCCTTATGATCGATCACTCCGGGCTGATGAATAACTTTGGTTCATTTTACAGATCAAGAATTGTTTCCAAGGATAGTTCTAGTTTCTGATTAGCTATGATGTAAGAAGTACTAATCTGGTTTACTCAAAGGGAGGGCAGATAGCAGAATGGTTAAGGGACACAGATTCTAGAAGCCAACTTTATTCTGAGTTTGAATCCGAATTATACCGCTAACTTGGTGAAGTAATCAATCCTCTCTAAGCCTTCATCTTCTCAACTGAAGAATGAAAAAAACAATATCTAATTTATAAATTTGAAATATTAGGTAAAAAATAACAGTATGGTGATTCATACATAGTATTTAATAAATATTAGGTATTATTATTATTATTAAGGATTATTCTTATCAAAAAATTTCTCATGCCCAGCAAAGAAATCAACATTTATTTACATAAAATGCTTATATTGTTCAAATCCATATTAATAAAAATAGCTCAGCCTCTTTTCCTGTCAAACCTAACATGCTGTCACTCAGAGCCAACCAGCTCAGACTTCAGGATAAATGACCAAGCACAATGAAAAAGACAAATGCTCTTTCTTAAGATGTGCCAGCATTCCCCTGTCAGATGTTTAGCTGAAAAAAATGATGCTTTAAAATTAACACATGTATTAAAATTAATGCAGGTTCTGATAATTGTGGCAGGAAATGGGAAGTCACAAAAGCTAAGCCTTTTCAAGACTTCTTGACTATTACCTGTCAGCCACTCCAAACCTGAGGTCCATTTTACTATTGAGAAAAGAAGGCTGTTGGTGTAACAGGTGCCCAGTCCTTAGAGGACCCTGTGGACTTGTTTCTCTTACAGGCTGAATGGACAGTGAAGGGGAGGTTATGATACTGTGTCTATGGGGCTATAATTAGGAAGGAAGAAGCTACTACCCACACTAGTTGTTGAAAAAGACTGAAAAAAATCTGTGGGATTCCAACCTCAAAATCAAATTACAAAAATCATCTACTCTTTTTATTAACTTTGTCTTCTGCTCCATTTCTGATGATTGACTTGTAACTACTTTTCTTCTGATTATAAAAGTAATATGTACTTATTATAAACAATTTCAAAAATACAGAAAAGGATGAAATAAAAGCATTAAATGTATTTATCTCACTACCCAATGGTAATCATACTTTTATTCATTTTTTTGTCAGTCCATTTTCCATGTTCATACATGTTCCGATGTGAACATAGACATGTATTAACAGATAACAGATATTTTAACATAAATGAGTTCAAGTTCTACATATAACTATTTATTCCTTATTAAAGCCAACAATTGCTAATTCTATTTTTAAAGATTTATTTGAGAGAGAGAAAGAGCACGTTCCTGTGTGTGGGCAGGGGAAGGAGCAGAGGGAAAGATATAAGGAGACTATATGCTGAGCTTGAAGCTGGGTGCAGGGCTTGATCCCAAGACCACAACCTGAGCTGAAATCAAGAGTCCTCAACAGACTGAGCCACCCAGGCACCCCTATAATTGCTCATTCTAATCATGCTTAATCGGCTCCCTTTCTGTGCTTTTTCTTGTTTTACGTGATGAGGAATGTATATGTGTAATTATCCACAGAGAGCTTTAATCTTTTCTGAGCAAAGGGATTTAACATTTAACTAAGATATCAGACTGTTATTTGTGAAGAGTTTAAATACTGAATTCTTTTTTTTTTTTCTCTTTAAGTAAACTCTATGGCCAACACGGGGCTGAAACTCACGATCCAGAGAGCAAAAATGGCATGCTCTATAAATTGAGCCAGCCAGGAGTCCTGAAATACCGAATTTTTCTTGGGTGAAATTTAACATCTGAAATTTGTTTTAAAATAGTTTTTGTTTGTTTGTTTTAAAGAAAAGGTGGGGTTGGATAAGTGAAAAAAGAACAAAATAAAAGATTCTGGTAAGTACTGAAGCTGGCTAAATAAACATGGGTTCATAATATTGTTTCCTTTATTTTTTAGTATGTTTGAAAATATCCCTAACAATTTTGAAAATAACTTTTTTGGAGAAGAGGCTCTCTGCTACAACCTTAACTTAGTAAGAGAATGCAAAGTTTTTATCTAAAAAATAAATTTAAAATGTCTATAATCAAGTCAAAGAATCAATTTAAGAAAGCTTGTAACTAAGACATCTGAGGGACTATCAAGATACATTCATTAGCTGACTACTCATCCCACGGAAACAAACTGTAAGTGGCCATGGAAACACTAATTTTAAAGCATTAATTAGAGCTACTGCTTACCAAAATCCAAAACCAGGAAAACATAAAACCACTGGGACTATCTTGAGAATTCTGGATAGAAATTTTATAATTTATAGTATCCCTGGTGATCCTGGAGCTAATCAAACATTTATTCCAAAAACCAGAAAGACTACTACTCTATGGAGATCCTTATTATTAATATAACTAATACTCTTCATGGAAACAGATAATTACATTTCTACAAAATCAAATTTCCACTGTTTACTTACATACAAAATTTGACCATTTCCTTTACTATATTAAAAAGAAAACCTGCAAGAGATGCATTGTCCTTAACTACGAGTAGAAATAAATTCTTATTAATTTCTTAACTAAGCCAAAAATTACAGTTAATAAACAGGTTCTTTTTTTTTTTAATTTTTTTTTTATTTATTTATTTATGATAGTCACACAGAATGAGAGAGAGAGGCAGAGACATAGGCAGAGGGAGAAGCAGGCTCCATGCCCTGGGAGCCTGACATGGGATTCGATCCTGGGTCTCCAAGATCGTGCCCTGGGCCAAAGGCAGGCGCTAAACCGCTGCGCCACCCAGGGATCCCAATAAACAGGTTCTTACAATTACAATTGCAGATACCAATGCTCTGTTTTCTCTCAGTCTTACCCCAAATACTAAAGAAATCAAAGGCAAAAACTTTAATTATACATAGCTTAAAAATAAAACATCTCCTAAATGCTAAGGATAAGATGCAGTTTGAAAAATAAAAAACAGTAGACTAAGAACAAAGGGTCTACGTTTTAGTCTTAGCACTCTGCCACTAATCAACTCTTTAAATGTTCCATCTGCAAAATTTATTTTCATTCACTCAATGTGGATTTATTGAATGCCTACAATGCATGAAATTTAATGAAAGATAAGATCCCTATCCACACTCCCCACTAATGGGGCACATGAGTGGCTCAGTCCCTTAAGTGACTGACTCTTGAGTGACTGACTCTTGATTTCGGCTCAGGTCATGATCTCAGTGCTGTAAGATCAAGCACTACATCAGGGTCTGTCCTCAGAGCGGGGAGTTTGCTTGAGATTCTCTCTTTCTCCCTCTGCCCCTCCCCAGCTCTCTCTCTAACAAATAAATCTTTAAAAAAAAAAAAAAAAATCCTGGTCCCCACTGAAAGGATGAAACACACAATTTTAACAAAGTAGGGTAGGCGGTACAGCAGGAAAAGTAGAGAACACTAAAAGCATGTGCCTGGTTGTAAAAACCTAGGTAGTACCCCGGATGCCTCTCTTTACCCACTCATTGATCCAATCTGTCTGACTTGCCCTTCAAATGTCACCATACCTCCACCCCCACTACTCACAATCCCAGCTATCATCCTCTCCTTCTTGGTGCATTGCAATCGCCTCTCTAACTGGGTAAACTCATTGTACTATGGCCCCTTTCCACTCAGCACCCACAGTGTAGTCAGAACAAACTTTTGAAAATGTAAATTTGATCAAGTGCATCAGCTTCCCCCTCTTCCCATACCAAATCCTTTAATGACTTTCTATTGCCTTAGGAAGGCCCACTAGGCATAGTAGGATCGCCTACTGGTTGTCATCTCCTTCTGCAACTTGTCCTCTCTGCTGCAACTGTACTGGTCTTCTTTCAATCCCTGAGGATGTCATGCCATTTTTACCACAATGCCTTTTTATGTACTACACTCCCTGCCCAGAATATAATCATTTCTCCTTTTCTCCTGGGTAAAAACTCCTACTTACCCTTTCATACTTAGTTCAAATGCTATTTCCTCAAGAAAGGTTTCCTTTATTAAACTACACCCTTTTATAATTAAGCATTAAGCATCATAATGCTGTATACCTCCTCTTCCACATAACAGAGGTTCGTACAGACCTTCCTAAGAACCCAGAGGAATAGCAAACCTATCCTGGCAGGATCAGAGCTATCAGAAGTGCACTGATACATAAACTGATGCTCAAAGAAGAAATAAAAGCCTTGTGGATGAGAGAAGGCACAGAAGTCAGAACCTGGTCTACCCCTTCTCTTGTGACCTGAAGGAACTTAAACTGTAGAGAATACTGGAATTGCTCCCTGTATATTTGAACTAAATGACTAATACTATTCTCTTAAACTTAGCTTAACATAATGACTCAAAATTAGGTTAACAACATGTTCCTCACAACTGGTATTTATACAAAGAGAATATGGTATAAAATGGATATCTCTTATTGGGATTTTAAATAAATTATTTTATACAGATGACATTATTTTTCATTGTTTCCCCACTTCTTCTTGATAATGGAGAGAAACTGTACCATAACAAAAATTTTCACTGAACTTTATCTTGCCTGCAAAATAGCAAAAAAAACCACTTAACTTACTGCATTGTAAAGGTTAAATTAGATAACTGGACATAAAATGTTTGGCCTATGGCAAATCACTGGACAAATATTAGTTCCTTCCACCCTTCTCTATTTCACTTTTAAAGAGGTGTTCTCTGAAAACATACCGATTGAAGTTAATATCTGGGTAGCTAGAATACTCAGATTTCATCTTAGCATTTCGCCGTGGAAATGTGCAGAAGAAAGCATTAGCTAAAAGACTGGCAATCTGTTCCTGTGACATTGTGATGGAATGATTCATCTTCTGTTTCAGGAGTGGTATTGGCTGAGAGAGGAAACAAAATATACAGACAAGAAGGGCAATAATTAGTTTAGCAATTTCAAAAGCAGAGGCACCAAATTGCATTTGCTAAATTAAGGCAGGAATAATTTCAGGCCACTCTTGAATCCTTAAATCAGCAGTACTGAAGTCAAGGGCAGTTCATCAAGGATGATTGGAAAAGTGTACTTGTTTGACAAACTGCAGATTTCCAATCAATAATAATGATAGTAAAGAGAACATAAACATTACTTATTAGGGGAAAACAAGATTGCTTTAGCAAGTAAGAAATAAAACCACATTATCCATGTAATGAAAAACTAAACAATAAAAGAGAAAAATGCATCACTGAGTTTAGCCATTACTACATATGCTAAATTTTATTCTCACTTATATTTAAGATTGCTGGATAGAGCAATTTTTCCATTAGTCCTAAATAAAATGACCTAAGGAAATTCAATAAATAAATCTTTTCCTTCTAATTCTGAACCAACCTTCACTTTGACAATTTCTTTGAGACCTAAATCTAATTTTATTACAGCAATTAATAGGACATGTATAGACAGACATATGTATAAACTGTAAGAAGACAGGCATTTCCCTACATCATCACTTTAAGCCAAGAAGATATAGGACATTTTTTCTTCAGATTTTTTATGATGGAAATGTCTTCTAGTTGTACCAAATCCAAATCCACTGACCTTTTCTTTTCCACAGGACCTTATGTTCAGTGGGTTTTATTCTATTTTAAATGTTAAAACTACATGTTTTTAAAGACATGGTGGTAAAGCCAAAGACCAACTGCCAGTTTATAATATCAGTTGTAAAGTTTTAAAATGTTCCAACATAATATTTAAGATGCTTTTCCTTCTGCCTTTCAATAAGACCCAGAACTAGGAATCCTGGATATCTGCATTCATTTCAAACCAACTGTCTTGATCATATCAGGAATCAACATCAAAAATGAAACCTAGGAGAGGTAGGCAAGGCAAATCAAAACTGCAATGATGTAACAATTAACTTTTTTCTAAGTATCAGAAAATGTACGTCAGTGCTAGAATAAGAGTGTGCTAGGAAAAAAAAAAGGTTAAATTTGCAGTTTAACTGTTTCTCTTGGGAAAATACAAAGACAAACAGAGGAAATGGAAAGAATCACTACAGTATCCAAATGCTGTCCTTTTAGGCCTTAGCAATTACCATTCCTGAGAAAGACAGAACAGAGAGCTCATATTGATTTCCATTTTCCCATCCTATACATTTATTTACAACCCAGCAATAAGTTTAGAAAAGGTGACAATGGCAAACTGGTACTTAGTTTTAGTTAAAAATGAGCTTTTAACTACCATTTATCAAGTTATTCATAAAAATAACTTTAAAAATTAATGGTGGCATTTTAGGCTTAATGAAAGATAAACACAAACATTTCTTAACCCCCAAATAACCAAATAGTAGGATTTTATTTTTATTTTTATTTTAATAGTACGATTTAAATAGAATAATTGATTTGTTTTCTTGGAGGAGAAATGTCTGAAAGCTCATACTTGGGGAAAACGATAAGATACATCTTATCAAGTGTTCAGCTAGATAAAATAAGAGACTGGTTTAACATGAACCAATATCTTTCAAGAAGCTCATGTCCAAAATTCGTTTCCTTCCTTGAAGTTCCTTTTTATAAATCTAAATTTACCTTTTGGATTTGGACTAGAGAATGTTAATGTAATAAGTTGTGAAGTAACCACATATACAATTTAATTTGCCAAAAATATCTTGATATCAAAGTGAAATATTAACTTTCACAGCAGAGATTTACTTTTCAGTAGAGTATAGAAAACAGACTTAAAATATTCTCTCCATTAATGGAAGAACAGATTTTTTTTGTTTTTAGCCAGGCCAAAATATAGAGGAGCCACAAGTCTGATTTTGTTCCACCAAGTGCCTTGTTATAGCTTATAAATTTAGATGTTTTTGAATATATATCTCATTACATAAAATACAGAAATGCTCTTGCCTAAGTGCAAGGGGAAGAGATGATTAAGTGATTCATGTCTAAAGGCTATATACTTATCAAGTATAAGTTCAATTATTAACTACACATTGAATTAAAAAACCATTTAATTAAGCACATGAAACTTGGGGACACAAAGATGATTTCCCTTCAAAAAGAATATACTATAGTAGGGGTAGATATATAAAGATAAATTACAAAATAATGTTCTAAGTGTGACTTGAGTGCTACAGGAGGGATTAACTTTGGCCAGGAGAGGTAGGGAAGGTTTCGCAGGGGGATGTAAAAGTTAAGCAGAACCTAAGATGTAGTGAGACATTTTACGAGGTAAGGAAAAAAGCAAGGAAAGAAAAAAGAGTGAACATGACACAGAAACAAGCAAAAAAACTTCAAAAAAGACAACAAGAAGAATATTAATATATATTTTCTGTGCCCAACAGAAAAGCTTATTTTGCACACAATGCATTAATGATGTGAAATTAAAGTTACATAAAATTAGAAATACCACAGTAAAAAGCTAACAACTATAGCACATCAAAAAACATAGAGTGGTTCTCAACTGAAGATAGAATGGCCCTCAGGTATTTGGTCCTGTTTTTAGATTGTCTCAATGATTATGCTTGTGGTTTGGGGGATACCCCAAAGACAAACTGCAGTGTCACACACTACACTGTGTGAAAACATCTCACACGTTTGTACACTGTTCCACCTAAAATGTCCCTAGGGCCTCTGTGAGGCAAAAGCATCAACAGAATCTTGGCTAGCATCCATGCAGCAAGGGGGTTGGCTCTAGAAACAAAAGACAGGCAAATTCAAGCCACTGTTTTCAGAAACATAGGAAGAAAACTAAAAAGAACAAACCAATAGCCTTTTATGGTAATTTGAAAATATGTCCAAGAATTCTTTGATATTTCCTCCTTTTTAGAGATTTATTTATTTTTATTGATTTTATTTTAGAGAGAGAGAGAGAGAGAGAGAGAGAGAGAGCATGCACACAAGCAGGAAGGGCAGAGGGAGAGTGAGGGAGAATCTCAAGCAGACTCTGCACTGAGTGAGGAGCAGATGCAGGGCTTGATCTCACAACCCTGAGATCACAACCTGAGCTGAAACCAAGAGTCAGGTGCTCAACCAACTGTGCCACCCAGGCACCCGGGTATCTCCTCCTTTTAAGAGAGTCTAATTACCATCTCCTTGAGTGCAGGTTAGATTTAGTGACTAATTTGTAATCAACAGAAAGATAGCAGAAATGATGGTAGATGTCTTAAAAAACTAGGTCAAGAAAAGCACTGCCAATTTCTTGTTGTCTCCCTTAGGTGGCTTGTTCCCAGGAAGTTAGCAACCACATTGTGAGGACAACTCAATCAACCTATGGAGAGGGCTATCACAAGAAATTGAGGGCTTCTGCCAAAAGCCGTGTGAGTAAATCAACTTAGAGGCAGCTCCTCCAGTCTCAGTGAAACCTTGAGATGACTGCAGCCCTGACCAACACCCTGACTACAACCAGAAGAGAGATCCTGGGCCAGAGCCACTCAACAAAGCTGCTCCTAAATTCCTGACAGAGACTGTGAGATAATAAATGTTTGCTGCTTTAAGCCATGAAATTTTGAGGTAATTTCTTATGTAGCAATTAATTAATATACTCCCTCCAAAAAGAAATAATATCGGATTCTTTCTTTCATTTTTAAAAGCTAAAAAAGCACTATGAGCTCATTTGTTATATAACACATCACTGTGTGGGGAAAGGAGAGTGAGGTAGTAGGCCATTTTGAAGATAAAATATTCTAACTCTATTAGTGTGTTTTGGAATAATGACTTTTTTAAGTTAGAGATTGTTTAAACAAAAACAGAATAGGAAGTCTCAGTAAGCAAACTTCAACAGTGTAAACTGAAGCTCAGAAATTGAATGCTGCATTTTTAATGTTCTTTTGCAGTATTCCCTCTAGCCTCTAACGTTTTCTTCAGTATAGCAAAATCCTTATAAAAAAAAAAAACTGTTTCTCATTTCTCTCTTCTTTCTCTTTGACTCTGGCCATTAGAGTTTAAAAGAAATTCAATTTGTGAATCTCAAGAAAGCTACTGAGGAAGGAGTTATTTCGACTAACCTGGGTGCAAATATTTGGCAGACACAGTGCAATTTTCACCATATCAGGCAAAATGGACTGATACAAATGTTGAGCTTCTGCTTCTTCAAGTACCTGAAAACCAGTATAAAATATATTAGTGAATAATAACCAATGAATAAATGTCTGTAATGAAATTAAATTATATACCTGCTCTTCATAAAATCCCATATGTGAGACATTATCAGTCTCATCAAACACATACAAAAGTACACTAATACATGTACTTAAGGTGAACTCAAGTGAACTTAAAAATTCATTTTTGAACTTACCTGACTTACCTGAATACTCTGTGAAAACTAATTAAGTATTCAAAATACCAAATATCTCTCATATCACACTTCACAATTAAATAAAACATCTGCAAATAAAAAACAGCACATTCTGCCCTTGGTTACTGCAAGACCACTAGGGACTCTCTCAGAAACCTTCAAGAATCCATCCAGCTTCGATAGTCTAAAACGTAAAGAAATTGCTATAAAAGCCATACTAATTATTTCACAGCACAGTGTATTTTTCAAATCTAACCTATGGGTAGTAAACAACAAAGTTTCTGATGACCTTAGAATTTTTCTTTTCTAGGCACCCTAGGGAAGTTAAAACTACAATTCCCACATCATAATTTGAAGCACAACAAAGGCAACATTCATAACCCATTTTTGTCTTTTATAATTTCCTATCTCTGCAGGCTTTAAAAATTACTTTAGGTCTTTTGATCTAATTTCTCTCTAAAAATAAGGGTATGTTTTTAAAAGTACTGAAAATGAAAACACTATTGATTTGGAAATTAACTCATTTGGAATTAACCAATTAACCACTTGGAAATTTATTTGTTAAGTCAGGGTTAAATAAAGACATTTATCAACTTAAAATTACACTTGAACTAAAGGAGCTCTCACTTATAATCCAGTCTGATTCTGTCATTATTACAAAGAAAAGAAAACTGAGGCCAAGGAGGTTACCTGATTATCCTAGCTTGAGAAAGTCAATTAGCAACTAAATTAAAACTAGAACCCAAGTGTTCCCAACTCTACTACATTGCTCTCCCCACTTCTCATGGGATTAATGGGGATGCAGATGCTTCACAAACCAACAGACTTGCTTCGCTATAAACTAGAATAAAGGAGTATTCACTTGTCTATCTGCAACTGCACAAAGTATGTGTGTAAATAGAAAAAGTAACGATTTACATCCATTCTGGTTTTGCAGGGAATTTCTAACACTAAGAACTGTCTTTATACCAATGCTCTAAAATCCAACCTACGTTTACCTCCCACTTTAAACTGGAACAGTGGGAAAACTAACATTGAGAATGAACAGAAAGGTATTTGCAACTCAGGGAGTTTGGGATTCAATCACAGATACATAGAAAACTATGTAAGTGAACAACACAAGACAATTATTAATTCTGGGGAAAACAAAAAAGTTGGCAAGAGTGGAAAAGCAGTATCTTAGATATGTATAGTGTTTTTACTATTCTGCTTTAAAAAACAGAATATTGATCTTAACTGAAACAAATTTGATAACTATGGTGGGAAAATGGGAAGTAGAAATAAGGTTTTTTTTAATTTTTTTAAAATTTTTTAAAAAATTTATTTATGATAGTCACAGAGAGAGAGAGAGGCAGAGACAAGGCAGAGGGAGAAGAAGCAGGCTCCATGCACCGGGAGCCCGACGTGGGATTCGATCCCGGGTCTCCAGGATCATGCCCTGGGCCAAAGGCAGGCGCCAAACCACTGCGCCACCCAGGGATCGCAAGAAATAAGATTTATGTTAGTGGTGAAGGGGGAAGTGAACAATAGCTAAATTCTAATCCTCTATAATGGGAAGTTAACACATTAAAAAAAAAGGTATAGGAAGTTAAAACTGGTATACTGTGTATCGTTTTATGCTATTTTTATTACATATACATTTGTGTAACTAACACCAAAATTAAGATATGAAACTATTTCACTATAATCTCTCTCCTGCTATCCATTTAGTTACACTCTCCTTCCTCCAAGCGTTCCTAAGCTCTAGCAACCATGTATGTTTTCCATCTCTGTAATTTTGTCATGTTACATAAATGGAATCAAATAGTATATTTTACAATTGACTTTTTCATCCAGTTTTAATATGTTTAAGATCAACTCAAGTTGATACAAGTACCAATAGTTATCCCCTGTTATTGCTGAGTAGTCGTCCATGGTATGAATATACTATAGTTTGGGTTTTTTTTTTTTTTTAAAGATTTTATTTATTTATTCATGAGAGACAGAGACAAAGACAGAGACACAGGCAGAAGGAGAAGCAGGCTCCAGGCAGGGAGCCCAACCCAGTCTCCAGGATTATGCCGTGGGCCGAAGGCGGCACTAAACTACTGAGCCACCAGGGCTGCCGTAGTTTGTTTAACCATTACCTTACTGAGGGACATTTTGTTTGATTCCAGTTTTTGGCCACCACAAATAAATCTGCCTTTTACTTTCAACCTGCCTATATCATTATGTCTGAAATGATTTCTTATAAACAAGCATCACTTTTTTATTCACTTTGTAAGTCTCTTTCAACTAGCAGATTTAGACCATTTACACTTAATCATGAATATGTTAGTGAATACTCATTTCATTTTTTATTTTCCATTTCTTTTATCAGTTATCTTCTTCCTTCCTTGTGGGTTATTTAAACATATTTTAGAATTCGAATTTTATTAATCTAAAATGTTTTTGAGTACATCTCTGAATAGATTTTATTGCCTGCTCTAGGCATTACATTATAGGTAAGTTACCAGTTTACTGGTGTCAACAGCTTACCAGTTCCAGTAGAGAAATTTGACCTTTGTTCAAGACCCTTTACCCTATCTCATTTATAATCTAATTGTCTTCAATATTTCCCTACATATATTGAGAACCACAGTGTTATAATTATTGAAAAGCAGTTAAAGAGAAAATGTCAAACACAATTTAGAACACAATCTATTTTATTTACTACATTTCCTCTTTCTGTTGTTCTTTCTTCCTTCATGTTGTTCCATCTTTTATCATTTCCTTTCTGTTTCAAGAAATTCTTTTAGATATTTTTTAGGATAGGTGTAATAATGACTGTCTCTTCCTTTTCCTTCACCTGGGAATCATGGTTTCCCCTTTATTTCTGAGGAATATTTTCATTGAATATAGAATTCTGGGTGATAGTTCTTTCCCTTTAGTCTTTTGAAAATACTGTATCATTTCCTTTGGTCTCTATGCTTCCTGATGAGAAATTCACTATCATTCGAATTGTTTTTCTCCTATAGGCAATGCATCACTTCTCTCCTAATACTTTCAAAATGTTTTCTTTGCCTTCTAAAAAGTTTGACTCTATGCCTTGGCATGGATTTTTGGGGTATATTCTGTTTGGGGTTCACTCGGCTTCTTCAAGCTATAGGTTTATGTCTTTTGTAAAATTTGGGAAAATTTCAGCTATTATTTCTATATTTCAGCTACTATTTCCTCTATATTTTTCAGCCCTGACCTCTTTCCCATTTCCCTCTAGTACGAAAATGATGTTAGATCTTTTGTTATAGCGCCAAAAGTCCTTCTGTTTTTTTTTTTTGTCAGTCTGTTTCCTTTGTGTTGTTCAAAATGAGTAATTCTTTTGTTCTTTTTTTGAAGTTTACCATTTCTTTCTTCTGTCATCCCATTTCTTCACTGAGCTCATCCATTGCATTTCTTTAAAAATTTCAGTTATTGTATTTTTCAGTTCTAAACTTTCTATTTGGTTTTTCTTTATGGCTACTATTTCTTTGCTGGAACTATTTTTTTCATTGTTTTAAGCCGGTTTGTAATTGTTCATTGAAGCCTTTTGTGATGGCTGCTTTAAATTTCTTGCCACATAATTCTAACATCTGTTTTAGGGTTGGGATCCACTGGTTGTCTACTCATTTCAACTCAGAATTCCCTGATTCTTGGTGGGAAGTCATTTTTTTTATTGAAATCTGGATATCTTGGGTATTATGCTATGAGATTCTGGATCTTATTTAAATCTTGTTTTAGGGATGCCTGGGTGGCTCAGCAGTTGAGCGTCTGCCTTTTGGCCCAGGGCGTGATCCCAGGATCCAGGATTGAGTCCCGCATCGGGCTCCTTGCAGGGAGCTGCTTCTCCCTCAGCCTGTGTCTCTCATGAATAAATAAATAAAATCTTTTTTTAAAATCTTGTTTTAAAGATTTTATTTATTTATTTGAAAGCTAGAGAGAGCGAGCAGGGGGGATGGGCAGAGAGAGAGGGAGAAGCAGACTTCCCAATGAGCAGGGAGCCCAATGCAGGATTCGATCCCAGGGCCCCGAGATCATGACCTGAGCTGAAGGCAGACACCCAAACAACTGAGCCACACAGGCTCCCCAAATCTTGTTTTAGCAGGACTTCTGTAACAGGGGAAGGCAAGAGCTGCATCATTACTGCCAATTTAGAGTAGAAACTCAAGTCCTCTATCTGTGAAGAGTGGGGGAGGCACCTTGTGCCCCTCGGGGGAGTGGCGTGGGGACCATGAGAGTTTGAGCTTCCTTCTAGAGCTTTATTGTATCTTTTCTAGGGCCCCACAAACCCTAGCTGGACAGTCTTTTCTCCACCTTTCAGATTTTTCTTATGTTTATATAGAGTCCAAGGTTTTTGGCTGCATTTAACAGGAGGGACAGGGAAAAATGTCTACCCAAACATTTTTAACCTAAAGACATTTAACCTTATGTGTCTAAATGGGCTGACAGCTTCTTCTCCTTTGGGTACCTGTCCTTGTCTTTTAAAATTGACGTACAAGTAGTTGCTGCCATGCTTTGTTGACTGTCACAAGCTTTAAAATATCATTTATTTATCTGATAAAACATTACTGCACTGGACTTCTTCAAACTGTCAACACTTCAGAGCTATGTCTAAATGCTGCTTTGGAAACACAAATGAGAACATAAAAAAAAAGTCATTTGAGAACATAACCAACCCAACTACAGTTTAAGATAGAATGCATTAATTTAAAAAACTACCATGATCTTAAGCCTGCTCACATATTATTAGTATTTTTATGCGAGTGTTACCTTTTATAAATTATTATTAGCCTATACAATGCATGCCAA